ATGAAGCATTAGCTAGAGTGATTTGAAATGCACTAGTTTTGTTTCCTAGATTTAATTTTTAGATTTTGATTCCTTGCAAATTTTGAAGCTGAGGGGCCAGATACTACACAGATTTGTCTCTGTACATAATTAGTGCCTCAAATTCCCCTGAACTCCAACTGCATGGCAGTTGTAGGCCTGGCCCCACAAGCACAACTTGAATTCAAAGTGAACTCGGTATGTAGTCCTACTACTGAAACCAGTACTTGACATTTTGTGGTTTTCCTCCCCCACCTCTCACCCCAGTGTAATTTCACAGGGCAGCTACACTGTCCATCAGTTTGAATTTCATGGAATATGAATCCCAGAGAGATTCATCCCAGAATCCCACAGAGAATCTTCACAGAAGCAGAAGCTGCTTCCCATATGAGTAATTGTTGTGCACTTTCTTATCTTGGAAAATCTCAAGTATTAAAAGGAAAAAAACCCAAACAACCCAAACCTAAACCCCACCTGGTACACAGAAGATTTCAAAATTCTAATGATGTAGAATTTTCTTGATTTCTTCAAATTTTAACCTAACTGTAGCCAAGCCAAAGAGCTTGAGGAACAGCTGAAAGCTGAGTGTCTCCAGGTGGGTTCCAGGTAAGAGTAGCCTGGTCTCTAAAAGCACAGGGTGTCTCCTGTAGGCCTTACTGCAGCACCTGCACAAAAGCTGAGCGTGGTGGAACCTGCTTTGGGAGAAGGTCTGCCTTATTTTATTGAAAGGGCAATAAATTGGGCAACTTGCAAATGGCTGCAACGAGCAAAAAAACCCCCCAAACTCAAGACTTCTGTATTTGTAAGTTACTGATACAGGTACTGCAGTTTTGTAAAACAGCCAGTTAACAAAAGCATGTGTTTTACTTCCAGTGGACTAAAATATAAGCAAATTAATGAAGTCTTGCTTTAAAATGACCCATTTTAATGAAATTTAGCTTTTGCAGCTACTTAAATTACAAACAGTTACAGTAGAAAAGCATGCTGTTCATGATGCAAATGATTGAAACCAATATCTTCTCCAGGTAGCTTGTTTAGAGATTGTTTAGTTGATCCTAGAATACTAACAGTAGTACATTTTAAAGATCCATTCTTGTGTTGAATGGAAGCTAATCCTAGAGCTACTAAAAGCTCTCTGAGCAGAATACTGATGTGTCAGTGAATTTTAAAATAATATTGAGAGGTTTTTTTAGACTTAATAGGGATTCAACTTTCTTCCTGAAAAATGTACAAGAAGTTTCAAGAGTACCTTGTGTATTTCCTCACTTTCTGCTGAGTTTTGCAGATATATGTTAACACTGGGGTACAGTGACCCAGTCAAAGCTCTTCCTTTGGCCAGAGGGGTGACATTACAGAGTCCAGTACCTAAACAGATTCATTATTTCTTTACTGTGACAATGTATTTTTTTGGTCAAACAGACTGAAGGCTTTGCATCAAATATATGATAATATTTTATACAACTAATCAGTTTCTCTCCTTTCAAGATAAATAAAATAGCTTTTAAAAGATTAATAGTCAGCAATTTTCTATTATTAGATGGGAGGATGACTGCCTATGTTCTCCTGTACCACAATTCCACTATGACTCTGCAGCTGGTACAAGCAGAGTCACTCCCATCTCCAGCGATTCCCTCTTGAGGTGTTCTAGAAATGTTGTTTTCATCAGGTTTCATGTTGTAAGGTCACTGTTGGTAATGCTGACAGATCATGGCCTGGGTCACTGTAATGGCCCTTGCAGAGGTGCTTGAGATGGTCCTTCAGGAGGTTGGTGTCTGCATCTAGAAGCATTTGCATCATTTCACCACCCTGCTTTTCATAATTGCTTCTTTGGCTTTCAGAAGTGCTGGAAATAGCCAGGATGCCAAACTCCAGAGTCAGCCACCGTGGCTTTGGTGTCTGGCTGTGCCTTGGCTTCCCAGGCTCCCTGTCACTGCTGTGAGAGCCCAAAGGTGCCTGTGCCTTGTGACGCTGCTGAGCAGGCAGAACTGTTTATAGCATCCGTGTTCAGGACAATGCTTAGAGCACAAAGTGCACTGGCTGCCTTGCCAGTTCCTGCCCCCTCTAAAAACATGTTATTTTTAAGCAGATACATATGCAAATAAATGTGTATTGAAACTATAATGGCTTTTTATCAGATTTGGAAATCTTTCCGTGTTTGACAGCACTTTCCTTGTGCTCTTCTTGTACTAAAAATGGCCTGGGATGTTGAAACTGTGTTCCAGGAAAGAAAGAAAATTAGGATTCACAGGAGAAGAGTTGGACAGAAAGTGCAATGGGCATTTTAGGTGCCTAACAGCAGGGATTGCACCACTGGTCAAACTCTAATCACTGTGGAGAAACACACGTTTCTGGAGAACCTATGTCTCTGCCTAAGCTCTGCGTGCCAGATGAGGTCAGATGAAGTTCATCTCAGAAAGGCCTGTTTCTGTCCATTGATGCTGAAGGGAATTTAATCCACTGGCTGTGTAGCCATCTGAAGGTGGATGTACTGACTCCCACCCAGCCTCTTTGTTTGCAGGTTTATACCTTAATCTTTTCCTGCTGTGCCATTTCCAAATGCTGTTTGTTCTTAAATGCCACAGGAGCTTACTTCTTCCTCCCTGCATTCGACTTGCAAGTGAAGAATTCGGTGCTTAGGCAGTGCTAGTCCAGAGAGGCTGTAGTAAACAGCTGGTTCCTCACAGGTACTGGAACAGCCACAGGGAATGGATCATATAAAACCAGCAGTTAATACAGTCTTCAGGCATTGTAACAGAACTCCACAGGTGGGTATTAGAGGACAATACAATGTTGGCTTTTAGCTTCAGTAACTTAGGACAGCCTTTCAAAGATTCTACCTCTGTAATTTATTTTTCTTTCAAACTCCATTTCTGCTGAATGGAACATTGACCTGTATTTAAACTCCATGCTTTGGTACGATCAGTGCTGGGCTGTAGCACACAAAGTTTGCAGTACAGCTGTTCCCTACCATGATACTGTTCTGTTGTCTGCCTTAACTTCTACCTGTATGCTGACATCCAGTGTTTTTCAACACAAACTTTACAAAACTGATCTCTTTCCCCAGTGGAGTTGTGGTTTTGATGAAACTGCATTATGTAGTGGGAAGGTTTTGACCAGTTCTGTTTGACTACAAAATACTGACACAGCTGCTGAAGTATGGACTTATGCTGCTGGAGGAAATTGTGCTAATCACTGAGGGGGTGGCAGAACGTGCTTCTTTGTAGATGATCCAATATACTCGTAGTGAGAGTCTGAGGCACATGTCTCAAACACAAGCAAGTTTTTACCACAGCATTTTCCAAAATATTTGCTTATTGCCCTCTTCCTAAGTAAATTCTGCTGTCTGTGTGCTTCATCCTTCCAGTCACACCCACAGAGTGATGTGAAGAAGGGCATTACTACTGCTTTTCTAAATATGTGCTGCTCCCTTTCCTACTCTTCCTCAAAGAATAGGATTGTTTGAGCCTCCAGTATAGTAAAGAACAGTTATTTCTACTTTGGAAATGAGGATGTGGTTGTTTAAGGGAATTATTAAGTTCTTCAAAACCATGTCTGAGGATTAGAAAAAGTCATCGAAGGATTCTATGGCACAGCAAGGCTCTGCAGGAAGGTCACATGATGGATTCCATTAGTGTGTTGAGCCTGGTAATGCAGCTTCCTGCCTTCTCCATTTGTAAAAGACTGCAAAAGGTACTTGAAGTCACTTCACCCCATCAGAATTTTGAGAGAAATAAACTCTCAGGCTTAACTCACAGTTGCCTATTAGAAAATTCAAGTAAATGCTCCATGAACTCCACATCTTCTGTAATGGGGAAAAATTCCTGCCATGCAGCACTGGGTGGAGGTTTCATCTTAACTCACTTCAGTCAGAAATGAAGCATCTACTCTGCCTTAGCCATCGATGAGCAGTGATGAGAGAGAGGCATGTCCACAAGGCAACTCCTCTCTCCTGAAACAGGCCTGGAAGGTAAGTGGTGTAGCCACCTTACAGCACTGACCTAAGGAGACCCAAAACAACGTGTTTGGACAAGGTGTCTTTATTGCCATGTGGAAACTAATGTGAGTTTCACTCTTCGGGATTGAATTGCAAGACCAATGTTACCACTTCAAAACTATCTTTTTCCCCAGTTTTCTGAAGATGATCTATCTAGGGATAAGACAGTAAGACAGGGATTAAAAAACCTAAAGCAGAACTTCCGTTTCTTGAAACATTGTTTTAGGTTTTTTAACTAGATGGATTTCTTAGTAGTAAAACTCATAGAGCAATTCACATCCAGACAAATACGGTGAATGCTTCCTGGCCCACTGGAGTGCCAGGGAGCATGTTGCTTGGTGTAATGAAAAGGGAGATTCTTTTAATTCTGTCTTAAAACAATGAACATAAGTGCTGGGAACTCTAAAACTGTAATATCTTGCTGAAGCTCCTCATGGCTTACATATTCATACTCCAGATAAACACCCAGTGAGACATAGCCTCTTGTCCTAGAGGATTGTATTACTTTATCAGATGTTCAGAAGAACAAGTTTGTATCTTCACTGGATGATAAACCAGACAAAAAGAAGCCTAATATGGCATATTAATTGAGTTTGGAGGTAAAAGGACACTATGAAAGTTTTAGCAGCAAACAGGTCCCTGTCCCATAAAATCCAAATGGTTAAAAAAATTTAGAAAAAGAATAAAATTAAACCAGGCAGCCCAGATGGATGATAGCTTTGTTTGCTTGGCTTTTGAGTGGGAAAGGGTAGTTATACTGCATTAGATTTCTGTGTTAAATTCAGTTGGCAATGAATGGTCACCACACATCTATGCTGTAGCCATCTGTACAAAACCTGCATGCTAGTGGACTTCTACACATTTCCTAAGCTGATAGACACCGAGACTCTTTCCAAACCATTGCACATTCTGACCATGGAGTTCTCCAACGGAGAAGTATTTCCAGGAGGGAAGAGGACGTGCTCTTCAGCTTGGTGGTAGTCAGACCTCAATTTCGGAATGCTCCCACTCTGCTTGCTTTGCTAATGAAGTTTTTCAGGAGGTCGTGGTCCATTTCTGCAAAGCCTTGAGTTTGTGTAACAACAGTTAAATGGTTTATGCAAAATCTGAAGCAAAATTCTTCCAAGTCCTAGGAACAAATTGAGGTAATTTGTAATATGAATGACAAAGTAGTAGTAATAGTATTTTTGTTTCAAATTTGTTGTTTAATTAGCAGATAATATACCAGATTGTTCACATTCCCAATCCCTTATCTGTTTGATGAGATCACAAATGATAGGGTGAAATTTCTTCCTAAAAACTATTCAACAAACACCCTCCAGGAAAACAGGAGTAGCCACCTAAATCAGCTCTAGAACTTCACCACACTTACTGAGCTGTGAAACCATCAATTTTCCCCAAGTCAAACTGCTAGAGCATCAGTAAGTCCTCTCGTTCCCTCCCTGCACTGAATCCAGTTGTGGTCCTGTGAAAAATACCAGATACCTAGTGTTGCTGAAAATAGAAGCAAAATATGATGTAACATTTGATGATGCTTGCGGAATGTAAACTCCATGTTAGGATACATGTGCTTTCTGTGGCAAACCTGGGAACCGTATCCCCCTGTCTAATGGGATTCCTAGATAGTAAAAAAGGTTCTGTCTCACTGTAACAGGATGCTCAGATACTCGGCACAGGATAGGTATAAGCCGTTAAGCCACACAACCATGATTTCATGCAGCAGATTTTAACCCCTCAAACTTCTCACACAAGTAACAATCCTCTCCATGCACCAGGTCAATCCCCTTTAGTTGGTTCCTATGCAGCAACTTGCTGTTGAAGGAAAATTAATTACTTCCTGCAGCAAGTAGAGCTGGAGCCATCAGCAAGGCAAGTCTAAATTGTATGATCCATGAGCTATAAACTCTTCCAAGGGTTACAGCAAAAAGAGGTCTCTTAATCCATGCCCAATTTGATTCTATGTTAGCTACATTAACATTGCAGCCAGGGATTAGTACTAGAAAGGTCTTCAGCTGAATACCTGTACATTTCCCTTTGAAACCTTTTCCTTGGATTCAATGTTTCAAGTCTATTGCCCCTGCTGAGATGTAACTAAAGCTTTAACAGAAGCACGAAATAAGGTAGCAAATACGCACAGAAGTAAATTGTATCTCTCATCAACAAGTACCAGAAAAGTAAAGAAATGGAGTGAGAATAGAAAAAGTAGCAGCAAACATAAGAGGAAATAAAAAATGTAGCTCAAATACAGTGGCACCTTAAGTTCCAGCAGACCTCTAAAATGATACTGCCAGAACCTGAGTTGCCTTATAGTCAACATGTGACTGAAATTAACAGCAGCTGCCCCTTCTGCTGCTGCTAAGACCAGAATAGCTGATCTAGAATCCTGGTTACTCAGTCTGCAGTTTCAAGAAATACAGGCTTTGTGTTCTGTTATACAGAAGGTGATTAAGATTTGCTGCAGTGTGTATTAGAAATACACGTTAAAAGAACTTGTAGCAGCAACTCTTTTTGTATTTTCTGAGCATAAGGCAAAATACTGTCAAGCATTTTTAATCCTAATAGATGCATATAGTAGTCGAGTCACTCTTCATTTAATTTGCTCTGTTAATGGCAGATAACACAGCACTGTAATATTCCACTTGCAATGTTCATATTTAGTGACAAGAACTTGAATTCTGTCTTTTCAAACTTCCAGAATATTAGGCCTCTTTCATAATCCTTCTTTGGACAGTTTTCTACTGAAAAGTAGTGCTGATACACTGCACATGGTTCTCAAACCAGTTTTTACTGTGTTAATGTCATACACGAAGAGATCCTGTCTCACTTCATGATTACTTAGACAGAGGCTTCCCATGTCTTTGATAAAGACATCTTTGCTGCACTTCCCTGAAGCTGTTCTACTACATCCCTTTCTGAGCTGTGGCTGTAGGGACTCCTGAGTTTGACACATGATGCTGCCAGGGCAGGTGAATCAATTTATCCTCTGATGATCATGTTAAAATATTACATATTTTGGAAGAATAAAACACCGACTCACAGAAGGAAGACGAGGGTAACATGCATTTACTCATCTATCCAATCCCTTTTATTGTGTTTCAGCTGCTATAAACTCCAGTACTTTGTCCAGGGTAGCTTTACTGCTTCAAATACATCATGTGTCATTACTTCACCTGATTCTGGTCAACTAAGGGTACTTCTGCTTCAAAAATGTTCAGAAGTATTGAAAAGCTTGTAAGAGGAGAAACTCCCGAATAAAGGTTTAATGAAAAATGTGCCATTAAGAGAACCAAATCATTGGGTCCTACTTCCCAGTCCAGTCTCCCCCAGTACACTGGGCTTGTACCACTGCAGCACACTGAAAGTACAACTGCTCTTTGCCTCAGCTGTTTGTGCCTTCGGCTACCGATACCTGGTTTCAAATGCCTTGTAACCAGCAGCTGGCAATTTTGTTAGCTACTAATCTGAAGTCATCCCCTCTAGTGTGCTGTCTGCATACAGCACAGACTTCTGCAACGTTTTGAACTCAATTTTTGTTTCAGCCCTTTCTTCTACTTGCTTCTTATACCTGGAAGGTATAGGTATGTCAGTCTACCATGTTATACTTCTAGCCTGTCCTCCTTTAAAGCTTCATCCTGCATTTCACAGCCAGGCAAAGGCAAAAACCCAAGTATTTAAAAAAACCCAGCATTGTAACCAGCTACATATTCTGCCTTTTCTAACAGGTAATCTTCTGTTTGGCTCTATCAATTTTATTCTTGTAAAGCAGAAAGATGAGGATTCTCAGCTAAGATCCTCAGTTATAACAATGGCTCCTAAGTCTTAAATACATAAGCAGACCTTTTGAATAATAAAGCCCATTATTTCCACAATCAGCACAGCACTAAGGATTTTAGAAAAGAAAAACATCTTTGCAAGTACCTGTTTACCAAATAAGCACTTGCATTCCACTGATAACAGGCGAGTGCTAGTGACACATTCCAGAGCCAAGGGCAGACCGAATGACAGGATATGGGGAGAGTAATAACAATAGGTAATTTGTTGTATGTCAGCACAATTCACTGTAAACAGTACTGCAAAAGTGGATTTTTTTATATAAGCAGAACTGTAAATAGGGAGGGACTTTACAGGTAAATTCTCCCAGTGCCTGTAAAAGGCAGTACCAGGAAGGCTGTACCAGACACCAGCTGACAAAACTATCAAGCAGAGAGCTCAGGAAGTGAAAGGCAATGCAAAATCCAAAGGCAGAGAAGTAAATGGCAGCCAGACATTTGCATGCCATGCCCTGCTGTGCCAGATGACACAGCAGGACGCAGACTAAGAACCCTGACTCACAGGTGCAAGCCAAAAGGCCAGGAAGAAAACACTAGTACCTGTTTAGTTTGAGGTTTTTTTTATGGCTTGAAAAGGGCAAAACAAACATCTGGGAAACCAGAAAGGGAAATTACAGTAATAATGTGTCAGCAATGAAATGCAGTTATGTTTATATTAAGCAGCTTCACTTCTCAGAAAACAACTGCTTGCCCGAAGAGAAGTTCTCCTTACCTGAGCTTCATATTTGACAGCAGCAGAAAGAAGAGCAATGGCATTCTCTTCACAAATGCCTTGTTTGATTGTTTGCTGGCAAAGCTTTTTCAATCTGTTTTCTCTGTACAGTGTTGCCAAATCTAGCAGCCCTGTGAAAATTCATACAGCTTTAACTGTCCTAGTGCAAGACACATTCATTTCTTTTCATATTAATCAATTACCCTGTTGCTTTAGGCCAAAATTATCAAAGACTTGTTCTCTTTTTCCCCCCTAGATGATGTGTGCATTGTTCTTTACAGATATATCAAAAAAGGAACCAGTTTATTACTACACAAGTGTTCTGTTTTCTTGCTCACTGTATTGTATGCCATGCTAGGCATCAATTACTGACTTACATCCTCTTAAATTTGTGTGGGGAACAGCTCCCTTTCATTCATGATCAAATCACTACAGCTACCCAAACAGAAAAGTTTTAGAATGGCATTAGTGTCTTTTCAAGAAAAAAAAAGTTCTTAATAAGAGAAACATAAAGTTCTTTTTGGACATTTTGCATCTCTGATCTTATGGCATCCCCACCACTCATTCTCCTTGGGCACGTTTCCTGCCATTGCATCCCTCTTTCCTGGCACCTGCCAAAGTCCAGATTTAAGTGCTAATAAAACTAAAAGTACCAAGCCCTGCTTTCCTCACACCCTGTTACCACACACACAGTGACCTTCTCAGAAACAGTGACCTAGCATCATTTCAATTTATGGCAAATACCTATAGCATCTTCAGGTGGGAGCCTGATGTTGTCTGTGTACAGGTATTCCAGGAAGGCTCGGTAAACAGGATAAGAAAATTCACTCATTTCTATAATTTCATCATCATTATTCAGTATGGAGCGAAAATGTTCACACCTACAAAACATGAACAAAGATGGTACACTCTGAAGAGTTAAGCTTGAAAGGTGATCTGAAGTGAGGGGCTGGTAAAAACCAAATCATAACAGACTAAATACACAAGCATAAATCTACCTCAGTGATTTCTTGGTTTGAACATGTTTATTTCTTTAAGCCTTATAAGCCTTAAATATTTCATTCAGAATTGTTCTTGTTATTAATATTTTACAGTAGGCTCCATTCCTACTTACAATATCTACAAGGATAGTCCATGTGGGTTTGATGCCATTTTCTTAAATATGTTATACCTCAACTACAAATTTCATTACCTGGCTCGTAACAGATTAAGTTTACAATTAATTTAGACAACTCTCACATTTCACCCTGATTTTTCCAACGTGATCTAATGAAGAAGGAAATTACTAATGATTTCAGGTAACATTTATTCTAGTGTCAGAGTCCATACACAATTTAACATTAGATTTAATCATTATACTCAAGGATTAAAATATTGAAAGCAAAGACACTCTCACCCAGATCTTTCATTGCTATTTTCTTGTAAGCCTGAATACTGAATGCTTTTGTGACAGATACAAGCAAGGACAAAGCACTGCCTTTGTCATTTGCAGTAACTCACCATGCACTGTAACTTACTGTTCCCTAAAAAGCATCCTAACATTTGCATTGTTATCAAAACTTTTAATGATGTCAATGAACATCACAACTTCTGATAACTTTTCCTGTATAATCACAATTTAATCAGACTTTCTTATACTGCACCATTTACTTTCTAACTCTTCCACATCTGAATTTGCTCTTCTGTTACTAAAACTTTTCCATAAAACATCAGATGGTTTCCCTTGAATGTCTCTGGGACAAGACTACATCACAGAGACAGCATCACTTAAACACAAGTGAAACCTAATTATTTAGTTTATCACTTAAGTTAACTTCTTCACATTTGATTTTACTGGTTATTGAAAGATTTTTTTCTTAGTATTTTGGGGTTTTCAATAAAATACAGAAACCTCAAGTTGAATGCATAAAGAAACAAAAAGTCATTATCTAGCTTCTGTCCTATATGTTACCACACTCCGGGATTGGGAGAGGCAGACCAAACCCCACTGCTTTGCTTCCTAAAGCCTCATGTTAAGTAGTGGTGACCATGCTATCCATCCAGCATGGAACAGACCTTGGGAATGGTCTGTTGCACCAATGGTACCACCCGACAGTCAGAGAGAAGGTGGTGCAAATTGCTGCCTTAAAAATTAAGTGAATAAATAAAAATTGGTTGGTACACATCCTCCAGTCATCTTGGTGTGACTCACCCTTTGGAGTGTCTCTTCCCCTATCTCTATTCATCAGTAGAGACAGACCACACACTCAATTCTGGCTGGCTAAGTGTGGAGCAGATGAATCCCTCCCACATACTCATATGTATCTGTTTCTACAGGCAGCACGTGGCTTGGCCAGACCCTCACTGAGCCATTTCACCACCACTGCAAGCTAGTAACCTCCAATGATGGGATCTAGTTCAACAGTAGGCATAAAAGAAGATGGAAAAGTCTTCGCAAGTAGTAAAAAAGTGACTAGATAATGAATTTAGACCAGCACTGCATTCATGACAATACTCTGGAATAGGCCAAATGTTGGAAAACACCATTTAAAATACATCATCTTAAAGAAAGACTTAAAGAAAATCTTAATTTTACAGACTGTGCCTGATCCTTTATTGTTCCTCCATATTATTTTGATAATGCCATACATTTAAATCCACTTTAGAACTAGACACATTTCCTTCACAGAATGTCATATAACCTGAGAAAAGCAGAGCAAGAAAAAAGAAATAAGCAAAAGTTATATATAGTCTGATTATTAGGAAAAAGAACCTCAGGAACATTTTGGGGATACACAAGATTTGATGTGGTATCTGACAGAGGAGACGCATGGCATTCCGAACAAAGAGGGTGAACTGTAGGCATGAGTATAATGTATAAGCAATGAAACCAGTAAAAGGAAGAAAACAGTAATACAGGTAATAGGAGTAGTGAGAGGAGAGCAGAAAGGACCAAAAAAAGGGCAGGCAAGAATTAACAAGGAATTTTAATTTTATACAGTAATATCAAGAAATAACTAACAGGACTCAGGAGCAAAAGTAGGAAGATTGTGCTGGTTTGGGCTGAAGTG